GATTCACAAACCGAGAGAGAGAAAGATAAGCCAGACCCTTTTCTCTAATTTTTCATTGCAGTATGGGCAGTTGAAAATTGTTTTATATCAAAAAGAATCATAAGCCATTAATCATTTAACAATTTAACTTTTAAATACTGTAAGTTGAAAACGCGTTTTGTTGAAAGACATGAATATAAATGAATAATTTGGTAAAAGAAATAAAAGACACGAGATATTAAAATTGTATCAGCTCAATTAGCTAATAATGTGTACTCTGGTATAAGACCGACCCTACCATTTTATCAGTTCAAATATTTTGTGGAAGTTTCGGAATATTTACTGACATCTCCGATAGGATGTTAAGAAATCGCCCTGTACTGTGAAAGCCTGAAATGATGGCATACACGATTGCATTTGTTGAATTTGACAAATACGGTGAGGAATATTCATCGTCATGTGCGATTTGTATGTGCGTAAAGAATGAAATATATTTTTAAAATTCATTTTTTAAAAGGTGACTCGGCCACCTTTTTTAGAAACGAAATTTACAGGGTTTGTGCCGAAAGTAAAGAACCTTATTTTTTCCCCACGCGAGATTCCCGCGCACACCTGTTCGACCGGTTGGAAGTGCTGGTGGGGACTCTAAGCTTGCCAACGACCCCAGGTTCAGTTACGTACAAGCTCTCGGAGCGGAGGGATGTCATTTTTAGTTAACCTCCGCGCAAAGCTTCGTCATGGTTAGGATGGAGAGAACTTTGAAGCAATGCGAGAGTATTTTATGTCAAAACACGTCGAAGCAAACGTTTGATTTTCTCACTCAGGCTTAAAGCATGATTGCTTGTCGTTACTTCAGGTTAAAAAGTGCCACAAGTCGTTCAAGGAAGGCTGGGAAGAAGTGGCCGATGAGGCTCTTTCTAGGTGTCCATCAACATGGTGAACGGACGATAATGTCGCTCGTGTGCGAGATTTATTTAACAAAGACTGCCTAATGAGTGTCTGTTTGAGATCAGAACAATTAAATTTGCCGAAAACAGATGTCCATCGGATTGTTTCTGAAGACTTAGCCATGCGTAAGATTTTCGCGAAACTTATGCCATAAATCTTGTCCGACGCTCAAAAAAGCAGCGTGTGGAAGTGTGCAACGAGATTTTTGAACTCTATGAGAAAGGCCCAAATTTCCTTAACAGCGTCATCACAGGAGATTGACATGGATGTTTGGATACAACACGGAGAAGATACAGAGTACGGAGTGACACACGACCTCGTCACCGCGTCATAAAATAGAAAGAATGAGCAAGTCCCACGTCAAGTCCATGGTCATCGTATTCTTCGACGCTAAGGGAATCGTGCATCATGAGTTTGTACCACCTGGGCAGACTGTCAACAAGGACTGCCACAAAGAACCTCTTAAAAGACTCAATTACAGAGTTACCCATGTCCAGCCAGAGATCTGGTGGAGACTCCACCATGAAAGCTCGCCTAGTCACACCGTTGTCAACTCCTATCTGACCAGGATCGGTGTTTCACCTGTATCACAGTCCCCCTATAGCCCCGATGTTGCCCCGGCAGACTTATTCTTGTTCCCAAGAGGGAAATACGAGCTGAAGGGAGAGTATCTGGAGACCCTTGACAACATTACAAAACCCACGACAAAGTGCCTTTACAGAATTCCGAGAAGTGAGTTCCAGAAGGCTTAGGATTCATGGAAAACACGTTGACAAAGATGTATAGTCGCAAGAGAAAACTATTTTGAAGAGTATTAAGTTGTATTGCGAATGTTTCTATGCCGGCTATATATGCAGAACAGTCATATATAATATTAGAAAGGTATGTTAGATCAAACTGGCGAAACCGAAGTTCGGGTTTACCACTAATGAACCAGACCCACTTCCAATTTTTTATCGTTCCAATAAGGACATAGAGAAGAATTCATTTATTTTTCAAAAGAAACATTCGCGTAAAGTGAATAATTTGAATGATTATATATGTTATAAATTTTGACGGATATTCAGTTATAAAATATTACTACTAGAATATTAAAACCTCAGAACAATTTTAACGCCTTGCCAAATGCTTTATTTTTATTTACTTCTCCTTACGAAGACAAATTGTTTTGTCGAAACGTTGAGAAAATAAAAATAATAACTGGCCGAAGTGTCTATTTTGCATATAAATTACTACTTGTATTACTCTAAATATATTTCATAAACATATCTGGACATTTACAGATGAAATGATGAATTTATTTTGTATTATAAAAATATAACATTTCTAAAGAAGCCATAAAGATGGGCCTGTAAATGTTGTTTTACATCAAGTATTATGGCGGAGTAAAACTTTACCTCTACTGGCTAACATTTTATTCAGAGAATACCTAAATGACATGAAAATCCTTCTCTAAAATAAAAGTTGTTTAACGAAGTTAAGTTATTGAGAGTGAACATAGATAGATTAGAAAAAAAATATTACTCACTTTTTAATCATGGATATCCAAGAAATATAGATTTTTTGAATTCGCAGGGATTTTCTAAAGATGAATATTTTGAAGATATTTGAACCAAATTTTGAAATTACATCTTCCTGGATAGGTTAATTTGAGGTTTGTCGTTGGGGGCGTGGGACTGCTGGGAGTCCATCACATCTGTCGTTCCTATGCAATGGCCCGGCCATGGCAAAGCTAGCAGGAACACACCATTTGGACTTTGAGGTGAAGCCGAAACAAGCCTCCAACCCAGCGGGTTCCAATAAAAACTTATGAAAAGGAATCGACTCAAACCGAAGTGAGCGCGCGAATGAACTAAAGTATCCACGCGGCCTCTATGCTGCCGAGACGGGTTTATTTTCTGTTAGAAGATTTATCTTTCATCCCAAAAATTTTAACATTATATAAATTTACAAATTTGGAAAACATTACGTTGACAAATCCTTACTCTGTTCCTATATGATTACAATTTTCTCATAATTTATAAGACGCGGCTATATTGAAATATTGAAGTAAATTGATAATTAAGAGAAAGAAGAGAATGCTCTCATCTCCCTCGTTCTCTCTAATATGTAAATTGGCGAAATAATGCGAGGTTCAATATAATCAGATCAAGTCAAATATTGAATATATACAAATGGTCGCACAGGAAGGTGGTCCCTCATTGGACACTTGTTGTTCTTAGTTATCTGGATATATCATCCTCCATGTAAAGAAGCTAAAGAGAGTTTGATGATTCGCATACTTTGTTACTTTATCACGTCTGTGGAGAGGATCAAGACTGAAGAATCTGCCAAACCGCAGCCTGGTGCGACAATATATACTTATAATTTGGCCAAAAATATGGCCAATCTACATTTTTAGATTGACTTCTTTAAGGAAATTCTAAAATATTCCACGGATTACTTTTATAAATTTGGAAAACATTACGTTGACAATACCTTACTTTCTTCTCACATGATTACAATTTTCGCATAATTTATAAGCGGCTATATTGCAATATTGAATTAAATTGATATTAAATTGAAAAAAAAAAGAGAATAATTCAATTTCTCTTTTTCTCTCTAATATGTAAAATGGGGAAAATGATGGGAAATTCAATATAATCAGTTCAAGTCAAATATTGAATTTATAGAAATGGCCGCACAGGGAGGTGGTCCTTCATTGGACATTTGTTAGTCTTAGTTATCTGGAATTATCATCCTCCAGGTAATGAAGCTGAAGTTTGATGATTCGCATACTTTGTTACTTTACCAAAGTGGGGAAAATACCTGTTTAAAGAAGAAGACTTGGATCTACTGACCATCAACACTCGCTATGAACTGACGAGTCATAACTAAATATTACACTTTTCTATTTAGCCAGGGTGACAATCCAAAAGGTCATTTCGTACCTTGTAATTGTAAATTTTGAACTACTATCTATACATCTGTTGACATGGACTGCACTTACAGTAAAACGAAACGCTATTTTTATATTAAAAAAATAATGCATCAACAAGGAACATCTGTTAAAAGGAATTTGAACTATTTATATGTGACGTGTTTGATTGTTTAAAATAAACCTATTGCCTTTTCTACTGCTCTTACTACAATGATCAAAATAATGGGAGAGCTTGGCTCATTAGTGGTGAACCATCCCAGCGGTTTTATCAGTTTGATCTACTATGCCGCTCTATTTTTGTATTTTATTTTATACTAATTTTGCATATAGACTCCTATAAATAGTAATCTGAACATAAAACAGCTGAATACAATAATAGAGATGTAGGGTAAATTTAACTGCAGATACCGCAAGGAGGATTGGTCCTACCAATATTTTTAACATTGTTAAAATGTGTTTATTTAAAAAGATCATAACTTTCCTAAATAGTTGAACTTTCCAAATCAATAACACAAACCAGAAATTTCTAAAAAATTGAAAAGAAGCAATTAATTATATATGGTATATGAAGATAATTTTAGCATTGAACAATTCATTTCGAAATATACAATTGAGTTCAAATATAGAATTTCCAAAAATTTATGGAATAAATTCAATACATCATAGAACACAGCACCACTCCAGAAGTTGTGCTTACATTAGCGTGTTGGAAATGAAGTATTGAACTTGAATTATGTTAGCAGCATATATTAATAATTGAAATAACACGTTGTTGTAATTAGTGTTATCATAACAAGAATAGCTCCGGCTTATAAGTTGAACTGGATCTTTATTTAATCTAGTAATCTCCTTTTATACAAGATAGAGATAAAAAGGAAATAGTTTACATAAGTTTAAAAACAATTGACAAATTGCATGATTTTGCACACACACACACATAGTCAATAATAGATAAATAAATATAAAACGTAACATATGTTATTTAAAACGAAAATTGAAATTATACCGCGAATGTTTCTTTAATAAAAATCGAAATTTATTTTCAAAGAGAAATAGCGACATTTCTAACTTTGAGGATGAGGTATGGAAAGGTGAAACATGAAGAGTAATGGCAAACGGAAAAATAAAAAGTGTCCAGGGGGGGGGGGGGGGGGGGGGGTGGGGAATCGAACCCACACCCTTCTGCTTACCGGGCAGGTGCCTTGTCCACTCGGCTACCCTGGACGTATTTTTCCGTTCGTAACTAACACTTAAAGTAACATTTAAAATACAATATAACGCGGCTGATGATTGTAAAATAAAAGAAATATTCGCGGTATAATTTCAATTTTCGTTTTACAATCATCAGCCGCGTTATATTGTATTTTAAATGTTACTTTAAGTGTTAGTTACGAACGGAAAAATACGTCCAGGGTAGCCGAGTGGACAAGGCACCTGCCCGGTAAGCAGAAGGGTGTGGGTTCGATTCCCCCCCCTGGACACTTTTTATTTTTCCGTTCGCCATTACTCTTCATGTTTCACCTTTCCATACCTCATCCTCGAAGTTAGAAATGTCGCTATTTCTCTTTGAAAATAAATTTCGATTTTTATAAAAGAAACATTCGCGGTATAATATTAATTTTCGTTTTACAATCATCAGCCGCGTTATATTGTATTTATATGTTATTTAATATATCACAACATGCTTCTCCTCTGCTTAAAAACAAAATCTTTGTGGTTTTCTTAATTCTCTTCCGAACCTTGAAAACCGGGGCATTCCGGATGGTTCTGGTGAAATCCCAGCGGATGCAGTCGCGTTTTCCTTCTGGTTAATATTGGTCTCTGCACTTGACCGCTGTATCGGGATTGTGGATGACTCTCCCATCGTTGGACTGTCGTAATGCAGATGTTGAGATTTTGGGGAGCCGGGAATTGGTTTTAAAGATAACTGCCTTTTTTGTTGACTCCATCTTTCGGCCTAATAAATTGTTGATTTCTTATTAACCTATTTCCTGATGGTGTTACGACTTCAAAGCTCTGAGGAGAATTAGCCTGCGCTGAAATCTTCACCGGTGTCCATGTCTCTTTTGGATGTATTTGACACCATGCATCCTCACCTACATTGACCGTGGGATAGCTTTTACTGTTTCTGTCATAATGTTCTTTCATTGAGCTCTGTCTTTTTCTTTTGGCATTCTCTAAACTTCTCCAATTAGTTTGATAAGGTTTATACAGCGGTGTAATTTTGGGGATTTGACATCGAAGGCTCCTCGATAAACATAGCTGTGCGGGTGAAGGTAGGTCATTTTTTGGTGTATTCCTATATGTTAGAATAGCCAAATATGGGTCGGACCCTTCATCTCTACATTTAATTAATTGATTTTTCACTGTTTGAATGTTTCTTTCGGTCGGCCAGACCATTAGATCTATGAAGGTGTGGACTTGAAAATAGCTGTTTTATACCCCATTTTATACAGAAGTCAGTCATAATTTCTGAGCGAAACGGTGGTCCATTGTCGGACATCATAGTTTCCGGAATCCCGAATCGTGCAAATGTTTCTCTCAATTTATTTTTTACATTAATCGCCGTAGGTGGGTTTAATGCAAATACCTCCGGGTAGCCACTATATCTGTCGACCACCAACAAATGGGACTTTTTCTGAATGTAAAATATGTCCAATGATACTGTCTGCCATGGATAATCTGGAACTGGGAAGGGTTTTAACGGCTGCCGTATTTTCGATTTCTGATATTTTTGACAAATTTCACAATTTCTTACTTTTTCAGCAATGTCGATGGACATTCCCGGCCAAAACAAAGATTCTCGCGCCAAACCTTGAATTGCAGATATCCCTTGGTACGATTGGTGCAACAACTTGAACATATTATTCCTTTGTGTCATCGGAATCACTATGGCCGATCCGATACATAATAGATCATTCCAAAAATATAAACGGTGTCTGAAATCGAAAAATGCTTTGGCATCTTCATCGACGTCTTTTTTGCATATTGGCCACCCTTCAATCACATAATCGATTACTTTAACTAAAGCAGGATCCTCTCGGGTATCTTTCTGCAGCGTTACCAGTTTTTCGTCCGATATATTAACACATACCATCTTGACCATTCTTTTGTCCTCAAGAAAAGGCGTTGGTAGTTCGTCCATGGGGTGAGTATCCCTGGATAGGGTATCAGCTACAATCAAATATTTCCCTGGTTTGTACTGCAATTTGAAGTCAAATGCTATAAGCTTCATTACTAATCTTTGTAGACGCGGAGATATATCACTCAGCGGTTTTTTTGACTAGACGCAACAAAGGCTGGTGATCCGTCTGGACAACGAAAGTGTGTCCTGATAATAGATATTCAAATTTTTTGCATCCATAATAAACACTCAGTAACTCCTTCTCAATCTGAGAGTACTGTTTCTGCGAGTCGCTAAATGACGCGGATGCGAATGCTAGAGGTCGATCTCCCTGTAGCAGAGCAGCTCCCATTGCATCTTTGCCGGCGTCATATTGTAAGATCAACATCTTGCTTTTGTCAAAATGTGCCAATGAAGGAGCATTCCTAACGCATTCCTTAATATGATCGAATTCCCCATCCTGTTTAGGCCCCCAATGCCAGACAACATTCTTTCTTAATATTTCTCTTATATTGGATGTGGACGCAGCTAAATTCAGAATGAATTTTCCCAAGTAATTATAATGGCCCATGATTTTTTGAAGTGACTTTTTATCCTCTGGCTTTTTAAAGGTAATTAATTTATCAATCTTATTTGGCTCTGGATCAATTCCATTTTGTGAAATCACATGGCCCAAGAAACGAACCTTCGTTAGACATATTTGAGCCTTTGTTAAATCAAATTTGATATTTTTTTCTTTTGCTTTTTCTAGAATTCCCTTCAATTTTTTATTGTGCTCTTAAATGGTATCCGCATATATCAGCTAATCGTCTACATATGTAATATTTTGAAAGCTATCCCTAAAGATATTCGTCATTTTCTCAACAAAAATTTGTGCAGATATTTTCAAACCAAATGGCAATCGATTATATCTGAATTTACCAAATGGCGTGGTCATCACCAACAGATCTCTGCATTCCTTTGCAACCGGAATATGCCAATAGGCTGATTTCACGTCTAACACGGTATAATACTTAGATTTGGGTATCTCGTGCAATAGTTCAGCTGGAGCCGGAGTCTGAAAGTGTCTTCCCACAAGGGCCTCATTTAATTTACGAGGATCCAGGCATATTCTGATTTTACCAGATTTTTTTTTACAACGACCATAGGATGAGACCACTCTGTTTCATGATATATTTTTGTAACGATTCCTTGCTTCACCATTTTTTCCAATTCAAACTGAACTTCGGCTCCGAGACTTGTTGGGATGCGCCTGGGAAGGGCTTGCACAGGCGAATATTCAGGCTTTGTGTAAATCTTACATTCCGAGTTGATTAATCCTACTCCTTGAAACACTTCGTGGTATTGTTCGAGGATTTTTTGAGTTTCAGAACACAATTTCATTTCATCCGTGTTTATATGATTAATTCGCCTCAATATTTCAAGCTTCTCGCAAGTATCGCCCGTGATAAGTGTCTGCGCCTCTAAATCGGCTACGATAAATTCAAACATTCCTTTCTTTTCACCATATTGGCATAGCACATTGCATTTGCCGACGATAGGCAATTCTGTATTTCCATATTCGAACGCCTTTAATGACGTGGGTCTGATTTCTGGTCTTGATGGCCATTGGTTTATTACTTTATGAGGAAGCACATTGATATGTGCGCCAGTGTCCAAATGTACCATGGTCTTCTTGCCATTAATGGTTATCACCGCGGACCACTTGTCCGACCCAACAGTCTTTACAACAACTTCATTTAAATTTATATCGTCACAGGATTCTTCAGCTTCACTTTCCGCTAAGAGATTTCTGATACGTTTTGTTCGGCAAACTACTGCGAAATGATTGGTTTTCCAGCATGCATTGCACTTCTTCCCATACGCTGGGCACTTTCCATAATTGTGTCGTTGTCCACACCACTTACATGGTTCTATTATTCTTTCTCTTCTCGGGTTTATAACCCTTGGTCCTGCTTCTGCATTCTCCATTCGAATTCTATCTTTCACCCAATTACGTTTTTCAATTTTTTCAATCATTGTTTGCTCATTCAACGATGCTACTTGTGAGCATGTTGACTCGGAGATCATAGCCATCGAAATTGCCCTCGGTAGTGTCAACTGTGGATCTTCTAACAACTTTCTTTTCATTTTCCGGTCAAGTATTCCAATTATAAGACGATCCCTTATGAGAGATTATGTTAAATTCTCGAATTCACATTCTTGTGCCAGATGCTTTAATTCTGTGATAAATTCCATGATTCCTTACCTTTCTTTTTGTACACAGGTAAAAAATGCATTTCTCCTTTGAATCGTATTTTTGAAGGGCTTAAAATTGTTCGTTAACATATCAAGCATTTCCTTTAAACTTGAGTAATTATCATTTTCACTTATGTGAAATGTCTTTTATATCATCATTGTTTTCTCACCAGCAATATGCTTCAAAATTGCTCGCTGACGCACCAGCGGCATGCTTTCTAAATTTACCGCTATTGCAAAAAATTCAAACGACTCTCTCCAGGTCACCCATTTTTTCTCGTTGCTGTATGGGACAAATTCTGCCGGCGGCTTGATTCCTTCCATTCTACTCACTGTTGAATTGATCTATTTTAATTAGATACTTTTCTTGTCATAATCCGGAATCATCCTGTCGTCTGCGCCATGTTGTAATGAGTGTTATCATAACAAGACTAGCTCCGGCTTATAAGTTAAACTGGACCTTTATTTAATCTAGTAATCTCCTTTTATACAAGATAGAGATAAAAAGGAAATAGTTTACATAAGTTTAAAAACAATTGACAAATGACATGATTTTGCACACACACACATAGTCAATAATAGATAAATAAATATAAAACGTAACATATGTTATTTAACATATCACAACACACGTTCTGATGATTTAATAGGAAAGCCATTTCCCCAATATACATTTATAGTTAAACAATAATCACAAGTAAAAAAAGACAGAGAAGCGAGGAAAATTATTAAGACAGATTTATTTGTAGTGGTGAACTTATAACTCTATCTTTTATTTAATTATTGTTTGAGGTGAAGTGTTTTTTGCTAAAATATAATTTTGAAATAAAATTTATTGGGCGTCACTGCGCCGGAATT